AAAAACATCTTCAGCTTTCTTCAAAGACCTGCTTTTCAAGACCTCTTCTCAATAAGAAATGCCTGATTGGGATATCCTTTCTTTTTCTGATCATTTGAGGAACTTCTCCATTTTTGATCTTGATTTCCTTCTTGAGTACCATCTGAAGAGACTTATTGTCTAGTGGAAGCTTTTACTTTTAGGACACACTTGGTTTTAATCTTTTTTGGGCAGTGATTTTTTATTCACCTGTGATGGAAAGGTGACTTACAATGGATTCCAAGTTCTTATGTGTCCTAGTAGAAACTGGGTTGTGTTGTTTCAGTATGATATCTTTCAGCAGCCACACCTAGTTAAAGAAATTTTATTGATGTATATTTTCTATTGCCCAAAATAGTCTTTCTCTAAAGATCTTTTTGCTTCATAATGGTAGGAAGGTACCAGAAAAGCAGTGGGATCCTCGTTGATTGCGATATCCTTCAACAACTTCTGAAGAAATGCATTTTCAACTGTAACCAAAGGGTTGGGGCTTAGTATGGATTAAAGACTGTTTGGTCTTATTGCCTAATGAAGATAAAAAGGAGATCTTGATCTTGAACTTTGCTTAACTGAAATGATAGGAGAGAAAGATCTCAGCTGGAAAAAATAGTAGCTTTTTCATTACCTGAAAACTTGTTGCTCATAACTTATTGGCCTCATAGTACTTGATTTGTAGATTAACCCAATTGGTGGAGTAGGGATACAAGGTATCAATAAATACTTTCTATTATCAATGACATCATTGGAACATGTGAGGTGACTAGTAGGTACTTGTTTATATTCAGCTACTAATATGTTTCGTGCCTACCAATCATATTTTGCAATGATTGTGTCATCTAAAATTCAGGGTCAAATTGAGATAGACAAAATTCATCAAAAAATTAAAAAAAATTTTAAGTGACTATAAGAGGAAAGAAATAGTAGGCAGACACTTAGAAATATAACTTGATGTTCATCATCTCCCACTACAGAAAATCTCTATAGACATGCTTCAATATAAAAGGCTTCAAGTACTATACTATTAGTTTTTCTTTCTTTTAAAACATTCTTGCTATAGGTAGAAAATATGTTTCTTGACTTTTCTAGGTCACAGGAAGCCAAGTTTTTGTTTGAAAATGAATATAAACAAGAGAAAGGGTTTGTGAGTATCCCTTAAAGTAAAACTTTAAGTTGATTTAAGGATAGCATTAAGACTTTATTAGCAAAGAAATAAAAAATTTCTTGTGAATATCTTTTTTGTGTTTGGGCAGAGAATCAGTAGAAAGAGTTTTTTGGTTATTGTGTGATCTTGTTTTTATAATTAATTAAATTATAATAGCATTATATTTTATATATATTTATAATTTATAAATATAACTTTAATTCAAAAAAATTTTATGCATAAATTTGTAAAATTTATTTACTTTATTGTTAATAAATAGTTTTTATGAATTTTTAATAAATAGTTTTAATAAATAGTTACGAAATTTTTAATAAATAATTTTAATGGATAGTTGATAAATTCTTGATAAATATTAATAAATTTTTGACAAATTAATAATAATTTATTATTGAATTTTTGATAAATTGTTAATAGATTTTTTCATAAAATTTTAATAACTTTTAATAAATTTTTGTTGAATAATTAGTAAATTAATTAATAAATTGATAATAAATTTTTTGTCAAATTGTTAATAAATTAAAAAAATGTCAATTTTTGTACTATTTATATTTGAATTATATATTGTATTTATCAATTTATTTATATTATTAATTTGTTGAATTGTTTATTTTTATTAAAAGTTACACAAGTAATAATATGCTAAATAATTTTTTTGACTAGTATAATAAATTATCTCAAGTGATATTAATAGCAAGTTTTATAATTATTTTAATATTTTTCATTTTTTTAAAAATAAAATTTAAAGAATAAGAAGTTTTTTAATTCAGTAATTCAGTTTCTTACTTGATTTAAGTTGATTAAAAGCAATAATAAATAAAGATTTTATCAAAAAATTAATCAACTTATTACTTTAGTTTAATTATTGCTTATCATTTTTATTTGATATAAAGATATTGATTAAAAATATTGTTAAAATAAAAACTTTTTAATGATTTTGTCTTTCTTTTAAAAAGTTATATTTCTTAAATAAGAAATACATATTTGAAAATAGAATCAAATTATTAATTTATTTGCAAATAATTTTAAAATTATTTTAATTGTAAATTTTACTTAATTTTTAAATAATAATTTTATTTTCAACTGAGATTTACTTCTTTATTTTAAAAATGTTTAAAGATATAGACTCTATCAAATAATTCAACAATAAATAAAAAGATAACTGTATAAAATAAAAAACTTGAATAGCCCTTAATAAATCTTAGAAATATTGAAAATCTAATTCCTGGCGATTGATTAAATAAATAGATCATTTTTTGATAATAAATAAGCGCATTGCAAAATTTAGAACAAAAGCTTATATAAAAATTGGTTCATAATAAAGTTATATATAGCTTAAGTTATAAAGATTATTTTTATAATGTTAAATTCGGATTTTTTTTTTTTTTTTATTTAAGCTAGTAACTTATGAAAGTTGAATTAATTTATAAAACTTATTTCTGATTTTTTTAAACTAATTTTTATACATTAAGTTTATTTTAATTGTTTCGTTTATTAATTATAATTATTTATAGACAATATAAAAATAAATACTATATTTTATTAAAAAATTTGAATTCTTTTAAAATTAAACATTTATAATAATTATTAATAAATAAATTTTAATAATAAAATTTTTTTTTAAAATAATTAGAATTGTCAAGTGATTTTAAATATCTAATATAGTCGATACATTATCAAATCACCCAAGAAATTTCTATAATTTTAATAATCAATATATTCAAATCTTTTTACAATAAAACATTCAACTTTTATTGGATCATTTTTATAACTCATTAAGTAGATCAAAAAAAAAAAAAAAAAAAAAAAATTAATAAACAATAAATTATGCAATACATGCATACGTTTTTTGATAATAATCAGGTATAATTCTAATAGTAGATGTATTACAAATCATCAAAAACTTGAAACCGTCATTAACAAACCATTCTTTGCAATACAAAGGAAAATTTTGCACATTATAGATTTACTTGACTCTGATAATTTTGCATCCGTCATTTTATAATCATTAAAGAGATTTATTTTTTGGTTTTGGTTTTTTTGTTTTTTTTAACGAAAAGTTTAAAAATATCTATGTCACAAAAAAAAATCGAGTAAAATTTTTATTCTTTAAAAATCTATGATTTCTGATGCTATTTGAAAAGAGAAGAATGCTCAAAATAAAAAATCATTTCCCCCAGTTATACTAAGGCGATGTGCAGATTTGTTTTATAAGCACGTTATTTTAAATTCCAATATAGAATTATTTTAATGCGCAAATGTCATAAATGTTATTAATAACTATAATTTTGAATTATAATTATTTGAGGATCAGACTCAAAAAATTCGCTTTTAAAATAAGGAATTTTGTTTTTGTTTTAAACATTCAAATGTTTACGACGCGCGCGATATGGTATATAACGAGAACTTTTTCACCGATCATAGAAATCGGGATAATCAGGACCGGCCGTAATGATTCCGATGGAGTGTAATTTTTCAACTTGATGTAGGAAGGCGGGCCAACACACGATATATTTTTCATCCTGATTTAACTAACGGGTTATACCGTGCGAAAGAGTGGTTTTATTATGTCCATCCATGAGCCACTGGAGTGTACGGGTCTCGAATTGCTTGTCATGTTTTCCAGCGTAATTACATTGTCCTTCATGTCCTTCGGACTGTATATGTTCTTGACCTGATTCTTTTCGATAGGGCATTCTGTAAATCAATCCGGAGATGATAAGGGAAACGAGGCGAGAAATTCTCTTTTTTTTTATAGATGCCAAAATGTGCATCTGTTAATTATCATGCGCATAACAATTTCCTAAAAAATTTTCACTTAACTGATTAACATGGCAAATTATTTGTTTTAGTATTAGGGAAACCTGAATATGCTAGATGGCGTATTATTATTGTTATAGCGGCGATTAAAAATTGATATGACAAATTTGGACATTTGAATTGAATGGTCAAGTGAACACACCAGAATCGATTTTTTTTTTCCTAAATTAGATCGGGAGTGTTTCACATTTAAAAAAAAGAACCCAACCAGAAAAGGAAACTGGAAACTAATGTGTGCAGTTGATTCCTGCTTTTGCACCTGTTAGTGCATAACTTGTTTATATGTATATACAGTATTTAAACGGTGAATTGCCTTAGAGAGCCAGTAACCAAATCGGTACGATATATCTAAATCCGTTAGGGGTTAATTCTCATCGTCCAACCCCTTTTCCTTAAAATGGTATATGTTAATATTTTTGGAAATAAAGTTGGGAGAATTCACCATTGTACCTGCAAATAATAGTGTCATGATCACTATTGTATATGAAAAGGATCAATCTGATTCGATTAGGGTATTCGGCTACAATGCTGAACGACTATTACGAATTGTATATACATAATGTTGAGGGTCATTTATGGTAAATTGAGTGAGTTAAAAGCGTGAGCCGATACACGAGCCCCATGGGTGATATATGGTAAAATGAGGCGTACTTTAGTACTCATTTGGAAAATCCCGAAATAGTCACGAACCCAGTAGATTGGTAGGATGTACATACTCGAATGTTATCATTGTAATCGTCGAAATTATTGCCTTTTTGCGATGTTAAATTAAGTAAGTAGCGAGGCAACCTTTGAGTGTGCATTCATGTTTAGTGCACAACAAGTTTACAAGCTGGTTTCATCCAACATTCTATGTTTAGCTGGCCAGAGCGATCATTCTTTCACGAAACCTAATATACGAATCCGATCTGAGAGTAAATGCAGTACAATATAAATATCGTACGTTACGTGTTTCCCTTTGATTTCAAAATTTTATTCACTCGACTTCCCCTAGCAATTTAGAATGTCGATGAACAACGCTGAACTAATTTTTATAAATACTACTAGCGAAGATTACAATAAACCTAATCCATTCGATGGGCAAAGCAAAAAACGACCAAAAAGTAAGTAACCCCTTGATCAAACGATCTAGCGACTCATCAACGATGTGTGAATTACATGTTATTTTAATTTTCGTAATTAGAAAAGAGCACGGGAGAAAAACATTTTCATCCCCCAATCAGAAACACGAAAAATCAACCTTTGACAAATTCCACTAATGAAGATCATTCTCGCGAGGCCCAAACACAATCCACTGATGAAAAATATATTCATAGGGTTCAAGCCATATCACGTACCGATGACGTAAGCCAATCATGGGCGAATCCCATCAATGAAGATCATTCTCATAGGGAATTGTCTCTTCCCTTGTCTTCAAATAGCGTACAACCCTCTTTCTCTCAGATTTCCAATCAACCTATTGTCTATGCAGGTCAATCACGGATAAATTCCACTAATGAAAAATATCATCATGGAGTACAAGCTAAATCATGTACCAACGACACAAGTCAACTATGGTTAGATCCCATCAATGATCATTCTCACAAGGTGCAAGATGAATTGTGTATGCCGACTTCTCCCATACCTCAAAACGATACACAGTACTCTCTCTCTCAAGTTACTCAAGTTTCACGTCAACCTAGTAACGTCTCAAGTCAATCTCGACATTCCGTAAATGAAAATCATTCTTATTGGATTCAATTCGAATTATGTCCATCACCCATTTCCTCACCTTCGAATGACGCACAATCATCTTTTTCTCAAGTTTCAAATCAACACATTAATTACGAAAGTCAATCACGGCATTTTGTCAATAAAAATTATTCACATGAAGTTCAAGATAAATCGTGTATGTTATCACCTTCCTTATCTTTGCACTCCACTGATGAAGATAATCCTCATGAGATCCAAATTCAACCGTCCAAGTCACCACTTCACATGCCTTTATATGATATTCAATCTTATTTCTTACCTTCTTCCATTGCTCTGCATCAATTAATTAATGACACAAATCAACCCTGGACAGTTCCTATTAATGAAAGTCATTCTCAAGAGATTCAATATGAACTATGCATGTTATCCTCTCAGAATCCATACTACTACCTCTAGTTCCGTATTCTCCCTACGTGCAATGTTCAGACGAACTCACCTTTAGTTCACTTTGAAAAATTCTCTTTTACGCGTGATGCGTGAGCTTGTAAATAACGATTTTTATAATTTTCAGAAACTTTTAAAAAAATATATTTTTTTCCCAACTTTCCGAGAATTTCAAAATCAAAAAGGCTTTGTCCACTTCTTTCTAAACAGCAAAATATATATGTACTTAGTAAAAAAAGATTGGAATACGAAGACAAAAACAAGAAAAAATTTTTTTCACCTCTTATTTTATTTTATTTTTATTTTATTTTATTTTATTTTATTTGTATTTTATTTGTATTCTATTCGGTCATTTCGTTGTTTTTGAATAACTCTGTTCAACCGTCAATATCAGCGAGTTTAAAATGTATAATTAAATAAAACCAAAATTCTCCCAAACCAATAGAATTTTATCATCATTATTATTAAATATTATATAATTCATTTTGGTTTAAATTAAAATAAATATGCACATATAGAGTAAATGCTTTTAAGGATAAAATATACAGCAAGTATTATTAATTTATGAAATTCCTAAAAATATAAGTATTATTAATTTAAAAATTTTAAAATCTTTTGGTAAGTTTAAATAAAGATATCAAAAATAAAAATTGTTTTTATTTTGTAATTGAATAACAATAAATATATTTTCACTCTTTCTCGCAGATCACTGATTTCTTAAAAATTTCCTTTTATGGTAATTTTTAAAGGAAAATAAAAAGTGAATGGAGAGATGAGTTCACAAAGGAAACTGAGAAGTAGACACTTACAAACAAGACCCAACTATAATGAAAACATTTTGACGAAAGGAAACACAAGAGTTACACGCAAAGAATCCAATATGCAGTTTCCAAAGGAAACAACCTTAGACAAAGGAAAAACAATCAGTCAAGTGGAACTCAGGGCAAACAAACAAAAAAACAATATGAAGAGAATGCGCTACACCACAGAGAATGGAAAAGAAGTTGAGCAGACAAGCTTTTCTATGACAAAACCTCAAGCACAATAGAGCAAACAAGTTGAAAAAAACTTTCAGCAAAATGGTCAAAACACAACAAATACATTTATTCCAAAAAGGGAAACAGAACTTGAAACCACTGTAGCAGCCTTCACAAGGGAACCCCAGAAAAGAAACAAAGAAACAGAAGCAGAAGAATACCCCATGGAAGAGAACTTTGAACCAGACTCATCCACGAACACAACAGACTATAGGAAAACTGCCCATCCATAGAATAGACCAGAAGAAAACTTGAAGTCCTATCACAAACCCAGGTCAAGATCCCCCTTTCGATAGAAGCACTAAGTATGATAGAGAAAGAGTAAAAGTCAGTATAAAAGCTACTGAGATCTCAGGAAAATCATTCACTCAAAAAATCACATACCTGATAAGAAGCCTCAACTCTCTCGAAGGCTTAATCGCAATCCACAGCGAGGGAAAAAATGAAGATGAACATATCATTGCTATATTTGAAGACCAACAGGCAGCTGATGAAGCATGCAATACAATCTTACCTGATACTGATTATAAACATCTCGTACATATGGCAAACATTACACCAGAACAAAAAAGGAAAACCAGTATCAGAGTATAGGACATTCCTTTAAACACAAAATTCATTGATGTGCAACAAACCTTTTCTAAATATGAAGTGATCACCAATATTAGTATGTCTATGCAACAAATGTGGCAAACCGCAACGATCACCTTTTTCAGAAAAGAGGAGAAAGATCAAATTGTAAAGAAATGGAGCATCCCCATGAAAGTAGACTCAGTCAGAATCTTCGACGCACAATAGTCTTTACAACAAATGAAAGAGCGAGGCACTATCGCAGTCAAACTCACTAACTTACCACCAAATATGACAGCCTTTGACCTATATCATATATGTACACAAAGCAAGGTAAAAACATGTTACATCCCAAGATACATGTCATATAAGAGAAAACACTTCGCAGTAATCAGTTTTGAAACACAGGAAGAATTAGAGGCAGCAGTAGCACAAAGTTTTTAACTTGGTAAAACCATTACAGAATGGAAACCTATCGAGATCAAACTGTGTACCATATGTGGTAGCGCAGACCACTTAGTAGTAAAGTGCCCATCCAAGGAGAGAAGAGCACAATAGCAACAATACCATCATAAACAAGCGAACAAATTTGGGAAATTATACAATAAATATAGATCAGTACGGACAAGCACAGTCAGAAACTTGACAATCCCTCTTAAAAACAAAAGGACACGTCCAGGCTCATATACAGCAGCAGTCAGACAGAATCACATCAACAAGGAAAGACCAAAAGATCAAGAAGGACATGACACCCTCAACGAAATCCTAACAATCCTGAAAGATCTCCAAAAAGAAATCACAACTATCAAAGAAGACATTGCAGATCTTGATGAAAGAATCATGTTTCTAGAAGGGGAAGACATAGAGACCACGAGTCAAGCTAAAGACGAACCAATTCCCTCAACAAACACAGCAACAATAACCAAACACGATAGGAAACCAGCAAAACAGCATCCAAGTACAACAACAACAATTACACTCATCAATCGATAGAATGGATAACAATATGAATAGAGTCTTCAAGGTAATCACTGGGCTCATACCAGAAAACACAAAAACATCAACCCAATAATAACAATATGGAAAGCACAATAAGCATTTTACCTGAAGAAAAAAACATTATCAAAGATATCATAGCCCCCCAATCAACCAAAGAAACTCAAGAAGACAACACAGAAAATATAGTAGAAAACTCTAACATCCAACTTATCTCTCAACAAACACCATCCAACAATAATAACAATCAAAATATAGCAATAGCAGAGAAGTTCCGGTCACCAATTTGGAAAGTAGCTACCCTCAACTGTCAAGGGATTGTAGAAGAATATAAAAAACAAACTTGGTTCAACATGTACTATACACAACAATGGAGCATAATAGTCACCACAGAAATAAATGGCTCCTCAGTACAATCAAAGTATTGGAAACATCCTGAATATCACATAATCTGGACTCACGATGAAACACAAATAATCGAACAAGGGTTAAACTTAATGATACAGAAAGATATTGCTACACACCTTTACAGTCATCAAACATAGGAAGGCAGACTAATCTGAGCAGACCTGTCTTTCCCAAACAAAAGGAAAGTTCGAATCATCGGTATCTACTTCCCAGCAAATCCAAGATGTAAAAAAAGACAAAAAACCCTAAACATCCTAGCCAAATGGATACAAGAAGCAAACTAATAAGACTGGAACATTATGGTCTTGTGAGACTTAAATGGTACACCAAACCCATCATTAGACAAATTCAGTAACAGAAGACCGATCACCTCAAATAAACCATCAGGTCCTCAAATAGAGGTACTTCTAAACAATAACCTGAAAGACACCTTCCGACCCCACAATCCACAAAAAAAAAGAGTATACATGGAAAAAAGAAGATAGCAAAAGTCGAATTGATCAAATATAGATCAATCAAACTACCACCTGGCAAAGTAGCAAGGTCACCATCGAGGATACAATAAATCCCCTAATAAGTAGTGATCACATTCCCATGGTAACAGAGATCGAAGTCTGGAATCTAAACACAAGAAAGAGAACAACATACCATAAACCAAATCACAAATATAATTGGCATCTCACCAGTGCAGAACAATTGACAAAGTTCTCTAGGGAAATTGAAGAAGGTCTGACTAAACAGCCTATAACACAAGGAACAACTGACCAAAAATGGAATACTCTTTGCAATCACATCCTCAAAGCAGCAAAAAGTCATATTCCCAAAAGGAAACATCACCGCAAAAAGAGAATACATCTAGATACATGCAAATAGGAGGATCTATTGATAAAACTACAAATGTGGAAAAATCAAATCCGACAAATTCATGGAGACAATATTCTGGCTGTGATCAAAATACTAGAACTAATAGAGAATCACTTCCCAGACCTGGTGGCACAACTTAGAAAAATCCAACAAGAAGATCCAAAGGAGTATTCCCAAGAATGAATAAGTGTAATCCATTGAAATATCAAGGCTTACAAGATCGTGAGTAAAGCCATCACCAATAAAAAACAAATGAGCATCAGGCAACAAAGAATTGTAATAAGACAGACATTCCTGGCAAGCAACAAGAGAGCAATGATCAATAGCATCCTGGAGTGATCACATAGAAAGATAATGTTGGATAAGCTAATAGAAAAAGGTGAGGAGATAAACATTATCACAGATCCTGAAAAAATAAAAAACAAAGTCCGACAACATTACCATACTTGGACTCCAGCAAGGAAAACACAACCCTTAGGTAACCACCCACTTTGGAAAAGGGAATATAAACCAAAGAACGAAATCAAGGAGAAAATATATGCACCAGTACTACAAGATATATCTTTGAAGGAGATAAAGGAAACCATTAGGAGCCATAGTACTAAATCTGCTCCAGGCACAAACGGACTTCCATATATAGCATACAAGAAACTTGGTGACAAGGCCTTAGAAACAATCCGAACAATTTTCAACCAAATACTCAAGCAGGGAGAAACCCCAAGAGAATGGAGTAAAGGAACAATCTACCCAATCCCTAAGCTCAAGGAGTGGGAAAACAACTTAGATATCACACACCCGATTACCTTATTAGACACGGGCCAGAAAATTTTTACAAAGATCATAACAGGCAGATTGGCCAAATGCCTCAAAGAGCACAATATACTGCCTGAACTAAACTGGGCTGCACTTCCAAGAAGCAGCACTTAAGAACCAATACATATCCTAAACAACATTATCGAGCATGCCAAGGAACACAAGAAACAAGCGTGGATCTTAAGTCAGGATATGTCGAAAGCATATGACTCAGTAAACATAGGGATGCTGATCAAAGCAATGAAGTGTATAAAGATTCCATGACAGATAACCAACATTCTAACAAATATGCTAAAGAATAGACAAAATATTGTACTCACCTGC